GGCAGAGGCCCAGCGGCGCCGATCGACAAGTCGGGCGAGGCGACCGATCGACAGGTCGAGCAGCGGCGCTTCATCGAGGAGAAGGAGACAGACCGCGCATGGGAGAGCTACTGCGCCGAGAACCACGCGCGGGTGGAACTGCTGCAGGCGCGCGAGACGGAGCTCACCGCGCGCCCCCGGGCCTCCGCCACGGGCGCGGCGGCTGACGCGGGCCTGGCCCACGTCGCCGCCGAACCCGCGCCCCCCGTGGAGCCGCCGCGGCCGGCCGCCCGCTGGGGGCCGCTTTTCTCCGCGCAGTTCCAAGACGCGGTAGAGGCCGCGCCGCTTCGCCGGGCGCCGCCCCCGCGGCAGGTTCTCCGAAGAGGCCGAGGCACGCCGAGCTGCCGCGCGGCCCTTGCCCGAACGCGTCCCCGCGGCCCCCGACGCTCGCTCCCACGTCGTCGGAGGTTTCGCAGAGGCACATTGCGCAATTGGCGCAATTATATGTGCACGACCAAAGGGCGACCGACAAGTCGATGCCGCTTCCAGACCGACACCGCGCGAACACATGGGAGCGCGGCGCGGCGCGGCCCCCCGCGCCGCCCAGAGGCGGGACTTCTCTGCCGCGGCGCACCTCGAGGGCTTCGCCATGTCGACGATCAACAAGGACTGCGAGACTGCCTGCCTGCACAAGAAATTGCGCCTGAGACCTTTGGAGGCGGAGAAGACGCCGGAGGACGAGCAGGCGCCGGCGCCTCTGATGGAGGCCCCCGACGCGCCCCGTGATATGAGCGCGCGCGGGTCAACCTGTTTCGCGCGAGCCCGGGCGCGCTGCGAGTCTCAGGCGGACGAGGGGGCCCGAGTCGCCGCGGCGCGTTTCCATTCGCAGCACGAGTGGCCCTCGATCTGGGCGACGCAGGAGGTGCAGGAGGAATTCTCCGCTGTGCGACAGGCGCGGGCGGGGGCACGGGCGAGGAGGGCGATTCGCTGGGCCCCGCCCGCTGCCCCGACAGGGAGACGCCAAGGGCGGCAGCGCGCCAGCACGTGCCCATGATAGCCATTCAGGCTACGCCACATCTCGAGGGGATCGCCCCTGCGCGCGAGGAGAAGAAGCGGCCGCGCTGAGCGCGCGCCTCCAGGCGACCACCGGCGGAGGCGCCGGCGAAGACGAGGGCGCCAAGCGGGCGAGTGCGCGGGGCACCCGGGCGCGCCATTATCGGCGGTCCAAGCGCACTCGCAATCCCAGCCGGTCCCGACGCGGGGCATCGACGGGAAGCAGGGCACGGCGGACGCGCTGAATTTCGCGCACCGCAAGCGCTTTGCGAAGTTGGCCAAGGAGCTCCTCGCGCCCCCGTGCATGCCCGAGGCGGTCCGCGAGGGCGCGGGCGCGCCCGCGCCAGCGTGCACCGCGGCCGCTCCTGCGCCCGCGGCCGGGCACCGATCGCCGGCGACTGCAGCGCGCGAGTAGAGAGACGCTCCTGGGCGAGGCTACACGACGACCGCCTGCAGGGCAATGGCGACGAGGATGGCGCGGGCGTCGACGACGGCGCAGACGAGGCGCAGGCGACCTGGGCACCGACCCCGCTGCGGCCAAGTTCAAGGACGGGGCGCGCTTCACGCCCAGCGCGTACATCACCCAACTGGTCGCTGATTTGCCGGAAGACCAGAGACCCGCGCGGGGCCAGACGCTCTTCGTCGCCAAATTCACCAAGGCCTGCGACGAAGCCTGGGAGGGCGATTTACAGAAGCCTTGAAGCGAGAGAAAGTTGACGCACATGCTCCCGCTGGGCCAGGGCGGCTCTGAGAAAACGCACTCGGTGCAGGATATCGTCTTCTCAGTCGTAGAGTATGCGTTGCCCTCGCCGGCGCCGGACAGAGCCAGCATGACGATCGTCGCTTTCTCGAACGCGCAGGCGAAGAACATCTCCGTGGAGACTGTCAAAGCCAAAACGCTGCACAATGTTTGTGTCATGCGAGTCCAGAAGTACGTCAACGCGAAGCTGCGGCCGGGGGCCACGCAGAAGAGGGCGAAGTCGCTGTGCAACGCGCTGGACCTTCATGCTACAGACGCAGTGACACGCACGACGCGCAGGAGTCCACCTACCAGCGGCTGCACCACCACTTCGGGCGCACCCCCATCGCGCTGCACCCCGGCGCTTTCCTGCAGCTCAGGCCCACCGGCAGCATTGACCTCCTGATGGGCGTAAACGAGCTCCTGGACGAGGATTCGTACAAGTACGCGGATCCGTCGTCGGTGGAGATTCAGCTCGCCATCGAGGTCTTCTCTCGATCCCCTGCGTCTTCGAGCTGGAGGGCGCGAAGCGCTTCGAGCCTGGGGACCCTCTGATCACGCTCCTGGGCTGCATGTGCGAGGGCAAGCCCTTTTCCACCGGAAGTCTGGTCCGCCTGGGAGAAGACGCTGGCCTCGGACAACCGCGGCGTCCTGGGCCCTCGGCACCAGCACGAGAATTTTCGACTCGGCTACGGCTTGGGCATGCACTGGGAGACCCTGGCGAGGTGGATCAACACGCGCGCTCGCCGCGACGCACGGCGCCTGGGCGTGCCCTTGGTTTTCTTGCAGGCCGTGGACGAGTGCAGCACGATTCAGGGTGATCCCGACGCGGGTCGGCGCCTCCTGAACGTCCCGAAAATGCACAAGACGGGGAACATCCACGGCGTCTTGCCTGCCCACGTCGGCATGGAAGTGCGATTCACGGCAGCGCAGGAAGAGCCGAAGAAGAAGTTGGGACTCGCGCAGGAGCAACGGGCCACCATCGTGTCCCTCGAGTTCCACCGCGTGGACGAGCAGCGGTACGAGGAGCGCTCGGCGCTCGGAAGGCCAGCTATTTCGCCCCCCGCTTCCTACCGCAGGGAATCTGGCTGCAGGCGCGCGGCTTCAAGGAGTCCCCGATCTACCAGGAGGTCGCCGAAGCGTTGCGACAGGGCGCCGAAGACGCCGACGACGACGGCCAGGCCGGGGCACGGGCTCGGAACTTGCTGATGTTTAGGCCCAGCGAGCAGGAGCTCACGCGGCAGAGCTCGGGGCCGCACGCCGCTCACCGCTCGGAGCTGACTCTGACTCGCGCGCCACACCTCACCTCCACGCTGTCGCAGGGCCAGACGCTCCGCAAGGGCGTCACCATCGACTGCACGAGGGACGAGGACGCTGGGTGGCCGCGCGGGCATGTCGGACGACCAGTGGCGGCTGCACCTCTACATCATGCTTTCCCGCGCGCATGCGGCGGAACATGCTTACCCTGCGGCCGCCCGCGCGGGAGTTTCTGCAGCGCGGGCCGCCGTCGCCCTAGCGGAAGGCGCTCGAGAAGTTCGATGAGAAAGCGGAGAGCCCCAGGGATGAGGCCGATCAGCTCGCCGCAGGGCTTGGCTTCGCGTTGCCTCCCGCCTGAGCGCGGCCGCGACTAGTTCGGTGCCTGCGGGCATGTCCCAACGGCTTGCTCCTACGCCCCAACGGCGCGCGCGGTTGCCCCAACGGCCTGGCCCGCGGGGTTGCCCTAACGACCGCGCGACGCGGCCATTCGAGAATGCGCCCGCGCTGGTCGAGGCGGCGACGGCGTCGAGGAAAATCGACGCGCGAGCTCTTGCAATAGACAGGAGAGGAGAAGGTGGGCGACGAAACAAACAGCAGGAGGGCGAGGCAAAGGCAACGCGGGGAGCGAGTGAGGGCCCTGCGGCAGGGCGAGAATGATACTGACGCAGAGAAGAAAATAAGGGCGCCTGACTAATCGCGAGGGCGACCTGGGCGACAGTGACGGTTATTCAATCGCTTCGCCCACTCCGCCGGCCCATATTGCGTGATCGCTACTGCTTCGGCGCGGGCTCGGGGCCATTTCGGTGCCGCCGGAAGGAGGAAGATGAGGATGGGGAGGGGGAGGGGAGGAGGAGAAGAGGATGAGAAGGAACGGGGGGGGATATATATATATATATATATATATATATATATATGTGAGGAGGAGGAGGAGGAGGAGGAGGAAGAGACACGGGCGGAGGAGGAAGCCTCTCGAAAGCATCTTGCGGCGCTCTTGAGGCCAAACACGGCCGTCGTCCAGATGTTTCTTTCGGAGGCCCTGGGGTCTGTTGAGAGGCCGTTCGGGGGCGCCTGGGGGACATTTTTGAAGCCTTGTAGGGCCTCTTTTGAGCCTCCTTGGAGCCTCCTGGGGTCTCTTGGGGGCCTCTTGGCGGCATCTTGGGCTATCTTGGGGGCCTCTCGGGGCCTCCTGGGGCCCTCTTGGGGCGGAAGGCTTGAGGTTTCGGTTCGTGGTCCCCATCCTGGGCCCCTCTTGGGGCCGTTTTGGGGCTCTCTTGGGCCGTTTTGGGCGTCTCTTGGGCCGTCTCGGGGCCCGTTTGGGCTTTCTGGGGGCCTTTTTGAGGGCTTCTTGAGCCGTCTTCGTGCGCTCTTGGGGGCCTCTTGGGCCGTCATGGAGCATCGGAAAGCCGAAAATGCGACAAGGCCAAAATCCTTCCAAAACCCCTGTAGAATTTATGATTTTGGCCTCTCGGGGCGCTCTCGTGAGGCCACTTGGAGCGTATTGGCGGCTTCTTGGGCCGTCTTGGGATCATCTTCGGCGTCTTGGAGCGTCCTTTGGGCGTCTCGGGGGCCTCTTGGGCAGTCTTGGGGGCCTCTTGGGGCCCTCTTGACGCGCTCTGGGGGGCCTGAGAGGCCGCACCCAGGAGGAAAACCATCTCTGAGTAGACCTTCCCGGGCTGCGGTCGGGGTACTTTTCGCCGGGGGACCCCCAGGGGCCGCCCCGCGCGCCCGAACTAGAAGAATTGTGAACCAGTTACCGGAGATCTTAGCACGCCTCTGGCCCGTTGGGCCGGCGAATTTCCAGATTCGCCGAAAGGATTTTCATATGGGGTCGCTCCGTCGGAGTAATTCGCTCGCCGTTTCGGGATTTTGTGTTGACAGAAATCCACCGACAAATCCGCTGCAGCACGTCTGCAAGGCCGGCGCAATGAATCGTTGAAGGGACCGAGGCGAGATTGTTGATTGAAAAGAGCAGGCGCTGAGTCGCAACGCGACGATTGAGGAGGTCGACCTCTGGGGCAACCAGATCAGCGACGTTGGGAAGACGATGATTCGTGCGGCTAGCGCCCACCTTCCTGGGGAGAGGGAGAGAAAGAGAGAGAGAGAACAACAAAAAAGACAGCCAATGAAGTGGAGGTTGCATGCTCCCTTGAATTGCCATGCGCCACCGTACGAGTTCAGAAAGAGACAGAGAGAGGGATATAGATACATAGACACGTATGCATACATATATTATGTATAAAAACGTAGAGGGAAGAGAGAGAAATATATGATGATATATATATATATATATGTAAATGAAGCAAGAGAGAGAGAGAGAGAGAACAAAAAAGAGACGCACCAAAAAAAACGGAGATTGAGAGGATGATGACGAAAATGATGAGGAGGAGAGGATCAAAAGGAGGAGGAGGAGGTGGTAAGAGGTTGGATAAAGAGGAGGAGGTGGAGAAGGAAGGAGGAGGAGGAGTGACCAAGAGGAGGAGCAGGAGGAGGAACAGTGGGCGGATGAGAAGCAGGAGCAGGAGGAAGTGGCAGGAGGTGGAGGAGGTGGGAGCGCCGCCTTCTCAGAAGGAGGCCGGTGGATCCAACGCGCGGCGCGGTGTGACGCGTTCCTGGAGGCGCCCGGCGACGTCGGGCTTGTGCCCCAGGGTTTCGAGGTCCTCGGCGCCCTGGCGCCGCGCAAGGGCTTACAGACCTGTCCTCACACACGCACACAGACACACCGACCCTTGGGTCCAGGACCACCTCGACCGTCATCGGCGTGTGCGCGTGTGCAGATTGATGGGCACATCTTCCACCACCACTACCATATGTAGGACGGGGGAGAAGGGAGGATGTGGAGGTCCTCCTCCTCCTCCTCCTCTTCCTCTTCCTCCTCATCTCCTCCTCCTCCTCCTCCCCATCTCCTCCTCCTCCTCCCCATCTCCTCCTCCTCCTCCTCCTCCTCCTCCTCGTATTCCTCGTCCTCCTCGCTCGCTCGCTCGCTACCTAAGGGCCAAAGGGGTTCGAAGCCCTAGCATACAGGGGAAAGAGGAAGGCGAAGACAGCACCCCCTAACGTGCACATGCAGGAGAGGGGGGGAGAGGGGTGAAACGGAGAGCTCAAGTGTCGCCATCCACAGACCTGGACGAAGCCTGGGCCAGGACACTGGAGGCCAAACCGTACGCCGAACATGGAAGCCTGCCAGCATCACTCCTGCGGGCAGCCGAGTGTCCGCACCTGTGGGGACACCTCCCCCTGCAAATCCCAGGCTGGAACGCGTCCAAGGAGACCCCAGGCGAGGCGACAACGAGGGTGGGGAACAAAAAGGGGGATCCAAAGGTGCACAAGTCAACATCACAATGCTGAATCCCAGGGGCCTTTGTCAGACCTCGCACCTCAGGCAACTCATGAACGGCAGGATCAGAGAAATCACGAGAGATGGGCAAGAAGAGGAGGAATGGTAAGCAGCAATGCAGACAATCAAATGCAATCTGCACGGAGGCCTGCACCTGACAGTTCTGATTCATGACCCACTCAACGTCCTTTTGTTGAACTCCCCTAGCACACCAGGGCGCCGTGCGCGTTCGAACCTGTCTGGCTCGTCTGGTTTCCACCAGCGGTCTCCATGAGCTGGCCTCGGGCTCAAGGAGAACGGCCGCCACTTCGCCAGCAAAGATCCTCCTCCTCACCTCCCCAAGATCCTCCAGAGACGAGGGGGTGCAATCAAAGTGGCAGGACAGGGGGGGAGAGGAGGCAGAGGGAAGAGCAGCCGACTTGACCGTACGTTCTAAATTCCCTTGGACCGTGCAAGGGTGCCCCCAATAGCATAGCTGAGCATTGCTTCGCACAGGCACGGGCCTAGGCAGCCAAGACACACTAGTCGGGAAATCCACAGCAGGGATGGTAACACTCGGAAGTTCGACGGGCAAGTCGGGTCTGATTCGAACCAGGGGACGAAAGGGGGGTCCTGATACACGCTGCGCAGGCACGTCGGCAAAGGTGTCTCCTTTCCCTCTGCGGCGGTTTGCACCTGCAGCGGCCTTGCGATTCACAATAGCTTGGTCAAGCTCGGTCTGCGTGGGTCGCAGCGGCGATGCAATCCAAGTGGAGAAGCACGATTGGGCTCTATGCAAGTGCTTCACCAGCCTGTTCTCATCCCAGAACTGCCAGCAACAAAAGGGGCACATAGTGCCCGTAGCAACCATCTCGGGCGTCTCAGGGGGACGGTGCGATTTCTTGAGATGAATCCTGAGCATTCTGGCGCTGCGCGCCAAGTGCCCACACTCATAGCACACAAAGCCCAAGCACGGGGACGGCGGAGCATGCGCAGCCTCGACATACTGACCACTTGACGGTTCATCAGGACTGCCCAACGGTGCACGCACAAAGGCGAGAGCGTTAGAGTCCCCTGCCGAAGGGCTGTTGGCCGCATCAAGTGCGCCAACACGGTCCTGTGAACCTGCCAAGTGGGGCGAGCCATTGATGTCGCTGGACTGCGAGTATACCAGCACGTCGTCGTCGCTACGCCGTAACCGCATCTCTCGCTGTATGATGTGCTCGAGGCCTATCTTGGTGAGCGACTGTATCAGTTTGCGTCTCCACGTGGCTACAGTTCCATTCACCTTCCAGATCCGCTTGGCTGCTGCAGCAGCCTGTGTGACCAAAGAAAGAAACTCTGCTTTGGACTCTCTGGCTAACCTTATAAGCGATGTGTCGTCAGATCCATACGCATCTTCCCCACCGTTGTGAAATCTCCTCATCCACTTTAAATCGCACCTCAGCCTAGCACACCAGCCGATGTCCCATGTGAAGTCGAGCATCTGGCGTAACAGTGGCGAGGATGCATGTAAAATCCTTGGCAAAAACCGCAAACGCGCAATTGATAACACTTGCTGCAACGGCAGCCGATCTACTCTAATGAGTGTGTCAGTCATAGCAGCATGAATTTCGCTTGAGTTGGTGATCCCCATATTGAGTGCCGTCCTATAAATGCTAAGATAACCAGTACAGGCTTTGGCCTCCAGATACTTGGGCATGACATCCCACGTACAAGCTGCAAATAAAAACTTTGAACCAGCATATGCCTCCGAATACCTGACCTTGTGTACGGAATCCAAGGCATTACAGGATGCGACAATTCGCTTGATGGGTCTGAGTGCGGTGCGCACAGACCTAACTCTTTCAATAATCTCATCTGCCATGGTGGCCTTGTCGTTGACCCTGGCACCAAGAACTTTATGCGTCCTTACAACTGGCAACTGAAAACCAAAATCTGAGCTGATAAGCGCAGCGCCATCTTTCTTATGATATGTTTGGGCCATGCGACGAGAATGCTGTCCACGAAAAGTCATGAGTGCCGCAGTTTTGCTCCAGTTGATTTTGAAACCATGGCTCGAAGCATGAATGTGAATGACTTCAGCTGTCCGAAGCACCTGTGCTGGAAGCTCCGTGGCCTGGGAGGCCGTGAGCGCAGTCAAGTCGTCAACAAAAGATGTGCAAGCGTGTGTGTTCATTCTATCTTCATTTGAGCAGAAATTGGCTACTGACTCAGGTGGCTCCCACACTAAATGCTCACCCTTCATCTGGGTTTCGATCTTCGTCTGCAGTCTAGCGAAGAGTGTGTTGAAAACGTCAGTAGCAGGAACAGTGCCTGGCCTGCAACCCCTGCCCGAGAGAGCGAAGCACGATGATCCTCGCACTCTCCAGAAACTCCCCGTCTGGCTTTCCCTCACCATCTGAAGCAAGTGCGGCGACATGCCGACGTCATCCAGAGGTGCCTGAGACGCAAGCTCAGCCTCTAGACCGGCCGTAAGGAAGGGGGTCATTTCAAGATCCAGGAGCGCATCTTCGAGCCTATGGGTCTCGGAGGGCAGGGAAAGGCAAAGCTGCTTGAGGGCCGAGTAAAACGCAGCATGAAGGTCAACGAAAACTCCTCCAGCTGACAAGGAGACCACCCCTGTCGCGGTCCAGAACTGCCGCACCATGAGGATGGCCCCTTCTAGGCCTCGGCCTGGTAATCCTCCACACTGAGTCGCAAGGAGAGCCTTGTAAACAAAACTAAGAGATTGTTGTCTCAATAGCTTGTGATGGAGTTTGCCGATCGTGCTGCCCAAGAGGATGTTTCTTTGGTTCTCCATGACATCCGCAGCACCCTTTCCCTTATGGAAGAAAACCACCTCCCCCTCGTCCTCCTCCTCCTCCTCCTCGTATTCCTCCTCGTATTCTTCCTCCTCCTCCTCCTCGTTTTCCTCCTCGTATTCCTCCTCGTATTCCTCCTCCTCCTCCTCCTCCTCCTCCTCCTCCTCCTCCTCCTCCTCCCTCTCCTACCTATGGTAGTGGTGGTGGGAAATGGGCCCATCACACAAGTCTCGGGTTCCTGCCGCCTCCGCCGGGACATCCCCCGCCGGCTGGCCGAGAGCGCACGGGCGGCCGACGCGGGATCCAGGGGAACGGGGATCGGCGACAAGCGAGGGGGGGGGAAGTGAGAAGGAGAAGGCCTTCTCGGAAGGTTCGGAAGTCCCCCAGCCTTCGGAGGAGTTTTCTACGCCTTCCCCGAAAACCAACAAAAAAACGTCTCAGAAGGCGCGAGGGCTTCGGAGAAGTCCAGGAGTTTTCTAAGCCTTCCCCGAAAACCAACAAAAAAACGTCTCAGAAGGCGCGAGGGCTTCGGAGAAGTCCAGGAGTTTTCTAAGCCTTCCACGAAAACCAACAAAAAAAACGTCTCAGAAGGCGCGAGGGCTGCGGAGAAGTCCAGCCGCCTTCCGAGAAGGCGTTCTCCTTCTCGTTTCCCCCCCTCGCTCGCCGCCGAGGGCGGGGCGTCTCGTCCGACTGCGGCGGCTCCGTCGGAGGGGCGCCCACGCATAATGGACCTCAAGAGGCCCTGGCGGCCCTCCCGTGGGAAGTTCAAGGGAGAGGTGAGGTTGGAGGAGGAGGAGGAGGGAGGAGGAGGAGGAGGAGGAGTGAACGGAGGAAGCGGAGGGAAAAGGAAAGGTTGGAGTGGATACGAGGAGGAGGAGGAGGAGTAGGAGGAGGAGGAGGATGAGGAGGAGGAGGAGGAGGCGCCCCCGAAGGAGCGATGCCTGCTCTCGTGCACTGTCCCACGCCGTTTTTCCCATCGGGTACAGGCTGACCTCCATAGATGGGCACTCCATAAGCCGCTACATGACGGAACAGCGAGGGCAATGACAAGGAACAAGGAAAATTAAGGCAAAGAGAAGGAGGAGCAGCAGAAACAGGATTGAAGTAGTAGCAGGAGGAGGCGTAGGAGGAGGAGGAGGAGGTGGAGGAGGAGGAGGAGGAAGAGGAATACGAGGAGGAGGGGGAGGAGGAGGAGGAGGAGGAGGTGGAGGAGGAGGAGGGCGACGAGGCTTTAGACGAGGTGGACAACGAGGATGAGGGCGAGGAGGAAGATATCGAAGAAGGGGGAAGGGGGGGAGGATGAGAGATGAGGGGTAAAATTGGTGCAGGATGTGACGAGGAGGGAGGAGCAATGAGAGGGTGACAGGGTGAGGAGAAGAGGGGAGAGAGGGAGGGAGGCGGGATGGAAGAGGAGGCGGGGGGAGGAGGCAGGTCTTCAGGGCCGAGATCGGGTCCGCCGAAGGGGGCAGCTCGAGCGCAGTCCCGATGGAAAACCCATTGCGTTCAGTCGGCATTGGCCTCCCCACGGCCTGTGCGAGGAGCAGGAGGAGGAGGAGGAGGAGGAGGAGAGGCGGGGAGGGAGGTGGGAGGAGGGTGGAGGGGAGGGAGGGACGGAGAGGGAGGATGAGGAGGAGGAGGAGGAGGAGGAGGAGGAGGAGGAGGAGGAGGAACAGTGTAAATCCAAGACGCCTCAACGATGGTGCAATAAACCCTCCCTCCAAGCTCCCCCTTCATAGGTCCCTACAGAATGTAATGTCATCGTGGGGGGTGTCCAAGTGGAAGACAACCGTCTGAGAATCTTCAAACGCGCCAGGACACACTTCCTGGCGAATCAAGTTGACAGTTGCGCCCTGGCAGTCCTAACTCGTACCAGACCTCGAATCTACGAGACCGGTGTGTCCTAACCGGAAGCTGTTATGACACAAAGCATCCCCAACCTTATCCAGGCCGCCCAGCAATAGAGAGAAACTAATTCCCGCCACGACGACGACGACGACGACGACGACGACGACGACGACGACGACGACGACGACGACTACGGTAAGGACCACGAGGAGGAGCAGGAAGACGACGATGAGGAGGAGGAGGAGGAGGAGGAGGAGCAGGAGCAGGAGCAGGAGAAGGAAGAGGAGCAGGAGGAGGAGGGGGAGGTTGGAGGAGGAGGAGGAGGAGGAGGAGGAGCAGGAGAAGGAGGAGCAAGAGGAGCAAGATGTGGAGGAGGGTCGAGTTTGTTTCCCGCCGAGAGAAATGGGGGGGATCAAAACGAAAGACCCGTCGAGGTCAGCGCGAGCGTTGGGTCCTCTAAGAAGGTACGGGTCTCTTGGAAGCCCCCCTGCCTCCTCAGGAGCGTTCGATCCCTTCTAAGATGTCCACTCCCTTCTAGGAGGCTGCCCCCCTTGAGCGCGCCGCCAAGGCCACGAGATAGATGGTGACCGCTGCTGCCGGTCAGCCTGGTCAGGCGGGGCGAATTTCTTGTGAGTGCACTGGTCCTTTGCGCGTGGGAAGCGAAAACAGTTCCCTGCTTCAGGTCAACATGACGATGCGATCCATCTTGTTCGAGTGGATCTCGCAGGTGCACAGCGGTACGCAGATGCCACCCGCGTCCAGGTTCCGGGGGCCGTGGGACACACTCTCAAGCGATGCATGCTCCCCCTTGCTCGGCGCAGTCACCCGCGTTGTCGCCTCGCCTCCAGCTTCCACGTCATTTTGGGCATATCTCGGCCCTTCGGGTGAGATGCCGCCGACCAGGCACAAGGACCTCCTCCATTTTCCTCCTCCTGCTCCTAGAACGGTATGTCCTGTTGCCTTGCCTGTTTCTCACCCTGCCTTTGCCAGTGCATGTGGGGTTGCTCCCTATGGCTGTTTGGTTCAAGGTTGCAACCTCCGCGCCCACTTTACACAATCAGACTCGCCATCGGTTTACCGAAAACCATTTTCTCTGTCCCACATCCTCAGTTCTAGTTGGTAGCGAAGCAGGTTCGCCCCTGCTCCAATACCACGGCCGCCATGTTTTGCCTCGCCCCTATGGCCATGGCTCCCACCCCCCCGTCGCTCTACATCGCGACGCCTGCAGGAGACGTCACGCATGGGTACGTCCGGGCTGGATCAGCCCATCCGCATGAACAGTACGTCTCGCCGTTTTGCATCCCGCTCTACATCCACCTGGACATCATCGCCTTCGGGAACCTCGTCCCGCGAATTGCGGCAGGAAGCGTTACCCTAGGGTCCGTCAGGGCATCCGCCCATCCGCCAGGACCACTGGCCGAGAACGTGCACAATCAGTACCTCATCGAAGACAACATCACCAAGATCTACAAAAACCGTTCTGCGATTCATTCTGGGCATTCGCGGTTTGTCAGGGCATCGTGGACCCAAAACTATCCATGCACCCGACCGTGGGGGTAGCCTCAGGTGTTAAACAGTTGTTCGACACGACGTGCACATTTGCGATGTCAGAACAACGTCCCGAGTTTTTGGGGACTGTTTCTCGAGAGCCCTGGGAGAAGCAAGCAGCGAAGAGGCATCTGGCGACTGCGTCGCCGGTGCCGAGCGGGGACGCAGTAGGGGGCATGGGACATGTGTTCCCAATCCCCCGAGGTAAGGCAGCAAACGGCATGGCGACTTGGGACGCCATCGCTCCGAGGCACCTACTCAGGCCCGCCAGCCAGGCAGGACGAAATCCCGTTGCGCAGTCTTCCAGGCGATCGTGCGCTTGGCGGTGCCCAGTAGGGTGACAACACGGCGTACGAAGAGCATTCCCTTCATTCCCGTGACCGTGCCGCGAGAAGCCCCGAGCACCGCGAGCGCCACAGTGACGCGACAGAAGCAGACGCCCAATGCGACGACGACAAGGAACGCATCCGGGGCAAGTTTTTTTCGGCGACTCATGCAGCGCCATTTGTGCATCCTCGGCCTCCGGCACCTCTACTGCATGTATAGGGTGTTACACTTCGCGAGGAAGGCCATCGGAGTCGGCGCGCGTGCCATCGCAAGCTGCATCGCCTGCGTGGACGCAGGCGGCGGCAGCGGCAACATGAGCCACCTCCGCACCTGGGGGCCCGAGCACCAGGCTCGCGCGCCTTTCCAGGAGTGGGCGCGCGAGGTGATGATCTGGCCAGTGGCGAATTCAGACCTCAACGATTCCCTCCAGGCGGCCTACGTCTCGTCGCGCCTTGCCACCAGCATGGCGAGCGAGCGCGCGGACGAATGGCCGCCAGCTGCCCTGACCCAGAGGGGTCTCATCAACGGCAACCCAGCGCAACCGATGACCTTCCTCGTGCACAGCTTGGCCGAAAGGCGGGGCCAGCTGGGCGGGGGGGAGCTCGCTTCGGCAGCATCGGCCCCGATGAACTCCAGCCGACTGCCGCGGGAGCGCATCGACAACCCCCCGCTGGTTTCGACGCCGCCCGCAACCGGGCGCAGCAAGCTGGCCCACTCATGATCGGCAACGAGGGGCTCAGCTTCCATCTGCCGCGCGCCGTCGGCGCGTCGAAACTCAACTTCGCTTGCCCCTGCAGCGCCGCGGCGTGGCCTTCCCCGCGAACGCTCAACAACTCGCCCAAATAACAGGCCAGCTGAGGCGCTTTGGGCGCGCGATAGAGGGGTCGCCAGGCAACCTTGGCTCGGCGGCCCACGCTGCCCAACGGCGCGCGCCCCTTGCGGGCGCGCCCGCGCAGGGGCAGTGCTGGGGCGGCGCCTGACGCATTGGGGCCAGCGCCGAGCTCCCCCGCGCCGGCCGAGGCCGCGCCCGGAGGCCGCGCGCCTCGCGCGGCGCCACCAGCGCAGGGGGCGTGCCCAGCAGCAGAGATCGACTCAGGCACCGACGCCGACGCCGCCAGCTCCTTCGGCGAGGAGATGGCCGCCGACGACCCCGAGCTACGCGACGCTCCGCGGAACAACGCGGCGCGCGCCTCTGCCAGGCATGCGAGCGCGCCAAAGCACGCGGGCGCAGCTTCAGCGACCGCGAGCCCGCGCGCCGCGCTCGGAGGGTCATCGGACAGACGGGCAAGGGCAAGGGCAGAAAACTGCCGCGCCGTCCTGGCCACCGCGTCCGAGAATGACTTCAGGGAGGCCGTCGCGGGCCTCGGGGGGGGCAAGGGCAAGTGGGGAGGGGAGATCACGACCGCGGTCGTGCGTTCGGGCCGCCAGCGCAGTCCTGCGGGCCTGACGGGGCGCGTTTCAAATGCCGCGAGCGCGACTCCGAGGAGCGCCTCGTGCGCGACTGCCTTCGGCGCCGCCGACGCAGCGCGCTCCCTTCCTCGGCGCCTGCGCCCCGGCGCCGCCGCTGGCGCCGACGCCCCCGCCACCTGCGTTTCAGGGGCGGCCCGGGCCGCGGGGTTCGACCGAACGGCGGCCCATTGCCAGGGGCGCGCGCGGCCAGGGTCGGGCGACCGGGGGCGCCTCCAGGACTCCTCGGCCCGCGGCCAGAGACGCTTGAAATGGCAATCCACTGCAGAGCGCCGACTCCTGGAATGACGGACAGCCCGCTTCGGCAGCGGCCGCGCCGCGGCCATCAGCACCAGCGGTTATTCGGTTATTCAGAGTTCTTCGTCGGACGGCCTGCGGCAGCTTGGCCGGCGCCGTCGGTCAGCTCGGATAGGGACGTCGCGATCGCCCTCGCCCTCGCCGCACGAAGCCGAACTACGACGACGGCGGACCTCGGCGCAAGCCTCTGATGCGCCGACGACCCCAGTGATTGCGCCATCGGGCCGTCAGGCAGCAGCGGGGGAAGCACCGCCAGCTGCGCCAGTTCCAGGAGCACCAGCAGCAACAGAAGCACCAGCAGCGCACCACCACCAACAGCACAGCAGCGGACACAAGCGGGCGGTGCATTCCCACTGGGACAAGCCCAGGGGCGCGACTGGATACGTAGGCGATCATTCAACGCACGCATTGCCGCGCTTCCAACCAGGTCGGCCGATGTGCAGTTGCCGAGCTGGGCGCGCAGCCCCAGTCCTCGGCATCAGCGCGCCGCGCGCATCAAGCTCCGCGCCGCCGCCGCAGTCCGCGCCGGTAGCTGCGTCGCCGCCATGCAGTGACGGAGCCCCCCCAGGAATTGGCTTTGGTCAATCAGATCACTCCTGTCGACATGAGCCAACCGCCCGGGAGAGTTGCCGCGCGGTTCGCCGGCCGCGATACCTGGATGTCTGGCGGCGGCCGATCCGAGTATTGCGCGCGCCGCCCTCGACCGCGCGCAACGACGGCGCCTCGGCTCGCTCCACGGCGATCTGTAGGCGCTCGAGCTCGCGCGGCCGCAAGGCGAGCAACGACGCCAGGCCGCGCAGAGTCTACTCCTGTGCCGGCCGCTGCGCCGATTGCTCCGCCCCCTTCAGTGGCGACATTCTTTGACGACGATATGGGGTGCCCCATCTGCCTCGGCCTTCCAGCGTGGCGAGGGCGCGGCGCGCCAGCTCCGCCGCCGCGCCCTTGCACCAAGCATGCCACTTGTAACGTTTGCAGAGCGCAGACACCCGTTTGGCGCGCTGTCCGGCGCGCCGCGGACAAGTCGACGTCATCGCCGAGTTCAGCGTCATTGGCGCGGTTCGTGCGCCGACGGCTTCGGCGCCTGCGGCGCCAGTCCACGCGGCGGCAGTCAGCGCGACCGCGGTTCCAGCAATTGCGCGGTTGGCCCGCGCGGCATGGGGCAGGGGCGCGCCGATGGAGATCGCGCCGCAGCAGGACCTTGCGCAGTTTCCCCGGTCAGCCCTTTCCCCCCGGGGCGAGCCGGCCAGACCTCGCGCGGTCGCCGGGCAGCGCTCCCAGCTTCTCGCCCGCAGTGGACGCGGCGGCGCCCTGCGACGCCCAGCTGGACAACGCGCGCGCCGTCCTGCAGGCCGACGCCCCCGCTGAGCTGGTCGCGGCGCGCGGCGCAGCAGACGGCCTGCAGGCGCACCTCCTCGCGCTGCACGAGACGGTGCACGGCCCCGCCTCTGCCGAGGAGGTCGGGAGATTGAGGGCGCACGGCCCCCGCAGACCCCGTCATATCATAGACGGCGCGTTCGTCTTCAGCACACCGATCATGGACCCAGTCCGGCTGCCGCCCGAGAACGGCGCGGCTGGCCACCTGCGGTGGTTAGCCGACCAGCTGCGCACCCAGCAGATCGACGACTTGCACTGGCGCGCCACTCGGGGCACGCAGGCCGACCCCATGACCAAGGGCAGCATGGGCCGAGAGCCCACCCTAAGCGCGGTGGACGGCCAGATCAGCAATGACCACGCCACGGCCAAGTACAGCGACGAGAATCCGAAGAAGGCCGCCCCGAGTTCCCAGCATAGCTCATTCACGCAGAAATCAGGAGACTCGTGACTGCGTCACGAGGTCACACGGAATCGGAAAGCGAGCTCAAGACATCACCGGGCGAGATCAGTGAGTAGAGCATTCTAGTGAGCGGGCCCACTCTAGCTCGCGGATGTTTGGCTGGCGCGCCTTGGTAGTTTCGCACTGACATGTGGTGGGGTCAATCCGCCGATTTGGCTAGTCCGACGGGTTCTGGTGGGAGTACTTCAATTCCTGCCACCGGCGCCTCACAACGTATTTGCGGTTGGCGCAGTGGGGGGTCAATGTACCCTTGGAACGGAGTGAAGTCCGCCAAGCCAGGGACTTGCCGAATTCAGGTGAACTTTTCCCCTTGTGGCCAGGCAACTTTATGAGAAGGGCGGTCAGTAGAGCCCTTTCTGCAGCTGTCTGGTGTATTGTACAAAGCACGACGGGTTCGCTTGAGCACCATACTCGCACGGCATGTCCTCTTGTCTCGTTTGCTTCCCACCCTGTCTTTGCCAGCGCATGAGGGGTTGTTGCTTGTGGCTGTTTGGCTCAAGATTGCAGACTCCGCGCCCGCTCTACATAGTCTGATTCGTTGTACAGGCTATACATCGATTTAGCGAAGACCAGATTCGCCTTCCCACGCCCTCATTTTCTAGTCTCCTCCTCCTCCTCTTCCTCGTCCCCCTCCTTTTCGTCCTCCTCTTCTTCGTCCTCGCCCTCATCCTCCTCCTCTTCCTTCTCCTCCTGGTCGACCAGGAGACTTTACCAGCTTGCTTTCTTGTTTGGCCTCGTGGCCACTCTCCGCCGCCCCCTGGGCTGCTTCGGGGGCCATGTGAGCGACAGCCCGGCGGGCCGCGCTGGGGGGCTGGGCCCGGGAGGGGACTAGGGGAGGGGCTATTTCCCCAAGGGGAGGTCACGAGTCTTCTCTCTCGTTCCGGCCCGCCCTACCGACATTCAGCGGCAGGCAGCGGGCGCCACACAGCGGACAGCTGCCGGTGACCAATCTGGACGCCAAGTGCGCCGCGTGCCCCAGGCACGACAGGTGCGCCAGGCACGACGGGCGCGCCGCGTGCGCCGGGCGCGCCAGGTGCGCCACAGGCGCCTGGCGAGCCATGTGCTGTTGGTGCGCAGGCGCACCACGCGCGCCAGGTGCGCCGGGCGCGCCTGTTTGCCAGGTGCGCAAGGGTGCGCCAGTGCGCGCGACAGCGCATATCGGGCATAGTGCGGACACTGTCAGCACCCTTCATGAGAGCTCATGGAAAGTGACTGCGGGGTGGACAGCATGATTTGCATTTTTTTCCTTCAATGGTGGTGGACCCACACATGCACCGTACATGACCGCCAAACTAACATGCAACATGATCGCGGGGGCGCCTTCCCGTCATCTAGATGTTGTCGCAACGTGCACGTTGTAGTTTTTTGACAGGGGTGGAAACATGGTTCCTGATCGACCACCGTTCTAGTGGGGAAATGGGTGTTCATCAACGATGAGCAATGCTGCATCGAAGGGTAAGCAGGGACACTTTTCGAACAGCTTGCAAGCCATACCACAAACGCTCAGAGGGCTGGTGGGAGGTGACGCCCACATCATCAGGCTGCACAATATCCAAGTAGCACCCCTTTGTGCTTCCCAACGCACACCGCTCTGTTCCGTCTCCGGAGGAACCGAGCAGCCCACATGCCACTCTCATCGGTTTCTGCCCAACGCTCCTTAAAGATGTGGCAGCACGAACTTCTCTCCCCATTGTCACCCTCCCTCCGCCTCTCCCCTTTCCGAGCGCTGTCGCTACAGTTCGACATGTCTGCAGTACTCCTGGCCCCCAGATACCCATTCAGTCCGCAGTTGTCTCCCAGGATGTCGACCCGCATCAGAGGGCGAAGCCATCGCATCAGAGGCCGCGCTGGGCAAGCTGGAACCACTCGGGTCTCGGGTGAGTGGATCTGATAGCTTTGGGGTGTAGGCCGGGCTTCAAAAAGAGGAGGAGGAGAAGGAGGAGGAGGAGGAGGAGAAAGAGGAGTGCCTCCTACTCCCTACGTGCTTGCGCCATAGGCAGTAATTACACCGTCTGGCTGTTGAGTTCTGTGGTGCAGCATCTCCGCTGCTTACCACCTGCGCCGACTGGTGCTTGCCGGAGCCGCCCGCACGCACGCGCCCGCTGCTGCCGCCGCTTTTTTCTCTCCCCCTCAGTCTTCGTCCTCACTCACTGGCTAGGCTTCGCCCCATCCGCCTATCGACCGACCGACCGACCGACAGACGACGACGACGACGACGAGGAGGAGGAGGAGGAGGAGGAGGAGGAGAAGGAGGAGGAGCAGGAGGAGCGCCGCCGCTTCCCCCCTCGCCAGGGACGTCTCGCCCGACCCGCAGGACATGCTGTTCCGCACCTACCGCCACGTGGACGCCTACGTCTCGCGGCACCCGGTGCAACGCGCTGAGCTGCAGCTCGCAGGCGCGTCCCACCAGAAATATACGAAATCAAGGTTGGCATTGCACGCCGAGCTGCAGCTCGCAAGGTCCGCGATGGCATAACAGACGCGCAACGCACTGCGTGTTTCGGAACAGGGTGGGGGGAGAATTGAGGCAGAAAAAACAGTATACACATGATCTCCCTGGTAGCAACTCGTGGGAGCTTGATCCGTTCTCGAAGTTCTGCTTTTAGGGTGCACCAGCATGCGCTAGCGTCTGGCAATCGATGAACGAGCGCGGATTTGGCGTCGATTTGGCGTCGACGAGCGTCGATTGCTGCGTCGACTAGCATCGATCAGCGTCGGCTTGCCAGAGCCAACCAGATGATATGGGAGGCCTCATGAGCTGCCGCAGTAGGTTGTCGGAGGTCCGCGCGGACCTCCGACGTTAGATGTTCAGATGTTTGCCCTGCCTCGAAGGACTCTCCTCTCCCACCTGCATCCGGCCTCCGACTCTCCACTTGCACTTGGGCGTCGCGTAATGGGGGGGTCATACATGGGGGGGTGGCGAGGGTGGTCCGAAAAGGTGCCCAAATGGTACCTAAACGAGCCCCTTGAGGCTCTGGAGGGGCCCGAAAGGGGCACGAAAGGGGACCGTTTCTGACCCCCCCATTTGTGACCCCCCCATTAAGCCACGCCCAATCCGCCTTCACCTGTCGACCTCCAGCGTCCGCCAGCTCAGAACTCAGCACCCCGACCTCGGCGAAGGAGGACGACGTGGCATTGATGGCCCCGCCCCCCCCCCCCCCCCGCGCAGGCCCCACAGGGCTCCGCCCTCCGCAGCCACACCGCGCGCTCGCCTCGCGCTCGCGCTCGCGCTCGCGCTCGCCTCCTTCCTCGAGTGGAGGCGCGAGTGCTCTCGGAGCGCGCCCTGCTGGCCGTGCTTTCTCTGCTTTGTTCGCCCGCCTCTCGGTCTGATATGTGTTCGTGGCACTCGCTTTTCAAACCCTGGCGAGATTGGAGGTTTTCGAAGGACTTCGGCACGAGCGCGCGGCGGCGGCAGGCCCTGCAACGGGGCGGAGTGGGGGCGTTGCTGCTGGGCGCCCCCCCCCGCGGCAGGCGGCGGCGCGCCCCGCGGGGGGACGGGCGGGAATCCCGGCATGGCTCGGCCTTGGGGACGGCTGGGGGGGTCTGAGTCGGGGGCGGAAAAGAGGGGGGTGATGACTAGGGGGGGTGGATATCATGGCGGGGGCCATGATATTTCCCCAGATTTCATGGCGCCTCTTCTTGTTTCATTACGTCCCTGGTCCCCCCGCTGGGCCGCGCACATGCCGCCAGTCATGATTTGCACCCCCCCCTCTTGGACACCCCCCTCTTGGCCGCTCCCGACTGAAGTGGCCCAGCACCCAGAGAAGGAAAAGGCACCCATACTACTCCCCTTCGGCCGCCTTCCTCTTGTTTTGGGGCCTCCTGCGGAGGCCCTCGTCACCACCACTGGATCCGCTTCGAGATTCTGGTCAGAGCGCACCCCAGGAGAGGTCTGGGGGGGCAGCGGTATTGGTACCTGTTGGTTTCCCCTAGCACCGGTTCTGGCCAGCAGGAACCATCAGGAGCGGAGGCAGATCGTCCACGTGCATGCATCCGCGTCGGTGTCGAAGGTACGCGCTGCGCGAGCGTTCGCACCACGAGGCTGGTCTCGCAGACCGGGCGGGGGACGCCGTCGCGTACGTGGTTGGGTGCGTGCGTCCTTTGCCCTGACTTTCCAGAGAGCTATTTTTTAGCACTGGAGACTGAAAAACCTAAAAAGCTCAGCGAAACAGCCTAAAACCAAGACGTAGAATGGCTTTGGGACAGGTTTTTAAGTCGGGTGCTATTTTTGTTGCCCTCCTGGAAGGTCAGGGTGTGTGCTCCCTGCCGACGGGGGGGCAGGGTCGAGGTGCTGGGCTCGAAGCAGCCGTTTGCCCTTCCCGGCGCCTCCACGGGCCGCCCCGGGGCCGGGCACCCCTGCAGCGGAGCGAGGGGGGGGGGCTGCTGCCCGGCGCCCCCGCTTCCGGCGGCGGCGCGCCCCGAGGGGGACGGGCGAACCCCTTGGGAGGAGGGAAACCCAGACCCCCTCGAGTAATGAAAAAATCATGACGGGAGGTTATTCGCAATTTTCGGCCTCTGGGGGCCCTCACCGGGCCTCGGGAGCGTCAAAAAACGACTCAGGATGACAACCCGGTCCTGGGGAAGGGGTCGAGAACTCTGGGGTCGACGTAACGAAAAATTCATTACGTCGGGGGTCTGGGAAGGGCACCCATGCCGCCACCCTGGCCTCGTTTCCGCTGTCGCTCGGCGGCGAGCCCAGGGGGAGAGGCAGCGGGGGCGGGCCTTCGCAGCAGGCTCGGGAGGTCTCCGGCCTCTGGGCAGCGTTCTGAGCCGGGCGCTGCCGGGCCCTCACGAAAGTCCCTCAGGCAGTCAGCTCTCTTGGGCCGTCTTGGGGTTTCCTTGGGCCGACTTGGGGCCTCCTTGGGCCCCCCTTGGGGCCCTCTTGGGCTGTCTTGAATCCTTCTGCTTGTCTTTGGGGGCCGCCTTGGGCTCTCGGACGCCAGAATAGGCCAGCATGTTAATATTTGCAGCAGGCCTACAGACACATTAAGGTGTTTGGGCTCTCGAAGGCCTCGTGGGCATCCTTTTGAAGCTCTCTTTGGATAGATTGGGGGCCTCTGGGGCCGTCTTGAGGCCATCTTGTGCTCCGCTTGGAGCGTCTGGAGGCCTTATTATTGGGCAGTCTTGGGACCGCATTGAAGGCTTTTCGACCGTCTTGGAGCGAGCTTGGCTGTTCTGGTGCGTGTTTTGGATGCGTTGGCTGTCTCAGGGCGTTTTTCTGCTGTCTGGAATGTTCTTGGAAGTTTTGGCTGCTTGGGCTGTTTCTACCCCCCTCGGCCAGAGCCTCTACTCGGCCAGAGCATCTCCAAACAGTTAGTTTATGTTGCAAGGGGGCCGGTCCCAAATCCGCTCCCGAGAGGGGTGACCGTTTTCCAATGCTGGGCGAGGGGAGGGGAGGGGATGGGGTCGGCCCTAGAAAAAACACACAAGAGACTTTACCAGACTGCAACGTGCGCTGGGCACGGTGGCGAATGCATGCAGCCAGACGGCGTCTGCCGTCACCGTCAGAATTGGTCCCTCTCGTCCTCTGCTGCCTCCCGATTTCTGTCTTGCACTATTAGTTCACGCGTTCACTTCTACGCGTACTCTTGCCACGACGTCCTTCGCGGATGTATCGCGCCCCCGGGGGGGAGCTCTGGTTTCTGAGGCGGGGCGCTTCGTCATCGTCCTCCTTGTCCTTCTCTTTCTCATCTTACCCCATTGGTCCTCCTTGTGGCACTTCGAGCTGCGGCTCGCAGGCGTGGCGTGCACCCTCTTGGCCAGCGGGTACGCCGCCGACCAGAATTTGGAGGACGACCTGCAGCTCTCGTCATGGCTCGGCCTGGTGACCGACAACACATGCACCATCGGAGACGTGAAGTCCATGATCGGCCAGGTCCAGGACGTGTTGGGCTTCCGACTCTGCTCCCCAACGGTCTACACGTTCCTCCGCAGGTTCCTGCGCAGGACCGGGTGGACCGAGGAGAGTTTCAGCCTCGCGAACTACCTCATCGAGCTCGCGGCGCTGGATTCTGCATTTCTCGCGTTCAGGCCACAGGCCACCGCCGCCGCTGCTGCGGTGTTGAGCCGGCAGTATGCCGCGCAAGGCGTCAGCGTGAAGCGGACACCTGGTTGGAAAGCGAAGTTGCTCCAGTACGCGGAGGTCGACCTCCAGACCGAGCTGGCACGGTGCATCGCGACCATGGCGAGCCTTCATGCGTCCAAGCAGCCTGAGCTGAACAACTTCGTGAACAGGAAGTACTTGTGGAACACGCTGCACTCGGTCGCAAAGGTTAAGCCGAACATGCCCGTAGATGCATCGTTCTACGTTGGGTACATGACGGCGTGACTTTTTGTTTTTGTTTCCGAACGTGTTGGTTCCTGGCTCGAATGAGACTAGCAGGACCAACCGCGCATTTTTTTCTAAGCAGGCAGACCCTTCATAATGATGAATGCTAAAAGGCACTGCCTCCATATTCCGTATTTCGATTTTTTTGTGTTTGCGGCCGCTACCAGCATTCTTAAAGGGAATTCATGCTGGAAGCTCTTTTTCGCAACTCGATTCATCACCCCATACCCCCCGAACACAAGCGGCAGAGGTCAGCTCGCTCTTCACCCCGCGCTTCCTCTGACCGCTCGCCCTCCTGCGCCTTCGCGCGACCACCTGATCCAGAAGCCAGCTCGCCCCCAGGGGCCAGCCTCTGTCTTTCAGGAAATGCAGCAGTTTGGGACTACAGTCTAAAACCAGGGCTGGACCTAAACGGTGTTTTGGCGATTTCGTGGGCCGGTTTCGTTCCGACCTCGTTTTGCGGCAGAGGTGGGCTGAAGACAAAACGAGGGAAGACGAAAACAAAACGAAAACGAAACACACCGTTTAGGTTCAGCCCTGTCTAAAGCCATGAGGAGGACGCGCGCCTTTCCTGTAGGGCACCCTCGGGTCCTTGCCTCTTGCGGGGGCGGGCCAGGGCACCCCTGCGTCCCAGGGGTTTGGGCCGCCCGCTGCCCAGCATGTCCCAGCTCCGGCCTCCAGGGGTCTTGCGTCCTCGCCGCCCGTCCTGAATGTACACGTTGCTCATGTCTGATTCTTCGAAAGTTCCTTCCTTTTTTTGGGGGGGGGCAAGATCCTTTCATATTTCTAATATTTCCATCCTGGTCCTCTTCCTGGCCACTAGGGGGCCAGGAACAATTAGAAACGAGCACAATCAGAAATGAGCACGATTAGAAATGAACGACGTGTAGCTCGGGTGATGTGGGCGGCTTCAATGCCATGCTCGTGACATTGCGATGATGGTGGAGTGCTGCAAAAGGCCCGTCTACCGTGCCCACGCGGGCGAAACGCCTGAGAGATCCCCTCTAAGCTCGGGTGCGACCGGGCCCGCGAAGCAGCCCTGGTCAGCCCTCCATCTGGGTGGGCCAGGTGCCATGCTGGCAACATCGAGGTGGTCATGGAGCCCTAACAAAAGTATCCGTTCGCATGTTTCACTCGGTATGCCCCCATAATCTGAGTGCGAATTGACCAGCGAAACATGAATATGAGTGAGTTCTAGGAAAAGCGGCTCTGAGTGTGAGCCAGGCTGCACATTGATTGATATAGGTTTTGCAGTGAGTGAGTCTGTGTAATGTAGGTTTGGGCATGAGCGAGCATGAGTACGACTAGATATGAGTATGAGTGAGCGCAAGTACGACGAAGCATGAGTACGCGTTAGCATATGTATGAGTGGTCAGTGGCATACGTGATCTAAGCGTGAGTGTGTCCGAGTCGGAGTGTATACAGGGAGCTCAAAAAAACTAGGACGGCATGCCCGGGTTCAGTCTCGCTGGCCTACTTTGAATCATAGTATTTACCTTCCTTGTTTTGTTTCATGTCCTGCCGTCATCCCGCGAGTGATACTCGAAAACCTAGTTTAAAAAATTGTCACGGTTATCTTCCCCCAGATTTTCCTCCGGATTGTCCTCCCGATCTTCCCACAGATGTTGCCCTTCATCTCCCCGCAGATCTTCACCCAGATCTTCCGTCAGGTCATCCCTCAGATATTCCTCCAAATCTTTTCCACGTCTTCCCCCGGATCGTTCTTCGGATCTTGTTCCAGATCTTCCCCGCGCGTCCTTCTCCAGATTTCCCCCAGATCTTCCCCAGATCTTCCGGCAGATCTTCCTCCAGATCTTCCCCCGGATTCTTCCCCAGTATTTTCCCCATATGTTTCCCCAGATCTTTCCCCAGATCTTCCCCCAGATCTTCCTCCAGATCTTTCCCCAAATCTTCCCCCAGATCTTTCCCCAGATCTTCCCCCAGATCGTCCCCCAGATCTTCCCCTCAGATCTTCCCCCAGATCGTTCCCTAAGTCTTTCCCCAGATCTAACCCCAGATCTTCCTCCAGGTCTTCCACAGATCTCCCCCCAGATCTTCCCCAGATCTTCCCCCAGATCTTCCCCCAGATCTTCCCCCAGATCTTTCCCCAGATCTTCCCCCAGATCTTCGCCCAGATCTCCCTTCAGACCTTCCTCCAGCTCTTCCCCCAGATCTTCCCCCAGATCTTCCCCCAGATCTTCCTCCAGATGTTCCTGCAGATCTTCGCCCAGATCTTCCACCAGATATTACCCTTGATTTTCTCCCAGATCTTTCCCCAAATCTCTCCCCGGATGTTTCCCAAAATCTTCCGCCAGATCTCCCCCCAGATCTTCATCCAAATCGTCACCCAGATCTTTCCTCTGATCTTTCCCGATGTTGTCCCGCAGAGCTTGTTGTATGTTTCCCCAATATATTCACCCAGATATTGATTATGATCTCCCCCCAGCCTCCAGATCGTCCTCCAGATCTTCACCCAGATCTTCCCCCAGATGTTTCCCCATATCTTCTCCCCCAGATCTTTCTCCAGATATTCCCGAGATCTTCCCGCAAATCTTGCTGCAGATTTACGACGCACTACACCGCCAATCTCCTTCAGCACATTCCCCAGATTTTCGCCCAAATTTTCCACCAGATCCTCCCTCAGATGTCCTTCCAGATCTTCCTCCAGACTTCCCGCCAAATATGATATCCGAGATGTTCCCTCAGATCTCCCCCAGATCTTCCGCCAAATATTCTTCCAGATTTATCGCTTTGCAACCGCGCCAAATCTTCCATTGGACGACAGATCTTCCCCCAGATCTTCCCCCTGCTGTTCCAGGGTAGCCCTTGTTTTGCTTCATACCGCATCGAGGGTCCGGTTCTTGTTTATAACATTCCTAGTTTTGTTATCTGCCTCGCTTCGGGGCTGTGATCTCTATACGCGACAACCTAGAAATTAAAACTCCTTGTTTTTAGAATTCCTTGTTTCGTTTCCACCTCCCTGTATGTGTTCGATTGAAACTTAGTATGAGTATGAGCTTGACCAATCCTCAGTACGAGCAAGTCTGAGTATGAGTGCGAGTTGTGCTGGGTGTGAGGGCGCCTCAACATGGGAGATCCAGGTGTGGGCGGGTTTTTGTATGAATTGGTCTGAGTGTGAGTGATCTTGGATACGAGTGGGTCTGAGTATGGAGGAGGAGGGGCAGAAAGGAAGGAAGGAGGAAGGGAAGCTACGAATCAAAACGCTCATTGAGGATATGGGGGGAAAGGATTCCATACTGACGATTCTGGGGGCAAATGACCCCAGACTTGGGATACATGAAAAGAGACGCGGGATGTGAGGAATGCGGGGGGGGGCACACGAATAACAACAATAGCTTGCTCAAGACCGAGAAAACGAGTAAAACTCAACACCATCTGAACGTACGTGCGGGAGGGTTACCGGATTCATGCGGCACTCTGGCAATCAGGGCGATTCAGAATGTTGCTTCGCGTTTCGATGGCTTTTCGTCGTCACCGCCCTCGTCCACGCCGTGGTTGATGTGCGACGGTTGGCTCCCCTCGTCGTTTCGGTCCCGCTGCGTGGTCTGGGGAGTGTCGGTCCTTCGGTCCGGTGTTCTGTCCGAGCGTGGGCGGGCCTTGCCCTTCGGCACGACGGGGCACGTGAGAACGCTTGACAGCTGCTTTTTGTGTGGTCGGATGCCCGCACTTCGCCGCCCCCCCCCTCCCCTCACGACCCAGGGTTCTGTCGGGCCCGTCCCTCTACAGGAGGAATACCCAAGAATAGTACAGCAGTTGCCTGGGGATTGTTTTTTGTAATTCTGCTTATTTGGGAATAGTGTTTGAGTCTGTTTGATTGTTCGTCGATAATCCCCTGTAGTTCAGGAGCGAAAGAAGGACGTACATGTACATGAATCCACGCTGGTTTCGAGAGTACGCACTGCGCAAATGTTTGTATAACGCGGCCGGTCTCGCGGACCGAGGGGCCGTGTTCATGTACATAGCTGGGCGCGCACGTCCTTTGTGGGCTCCCTAGTAGTGGAGCACGCCCGACGCAGACCCGGGGATAAGAAGTCCACGGAGCGGCCCAGCAGCCTCCAAAGATGGGTCCCACGGCCGGCCGCCCCCGGAGAGAGCTGCCCGACGGCGCGTCAAGACCCACGCAGAGAGGCCCAGGGCGGCTCCGCCGAGTCGCCACGGGAGAGCTAACCACGGCGTCCAATGTAGCTCCAGGGCGCCGAGAAGATCGCCAAAAGGCTCTCAAGAGGGCCCCAGGGTCCCAACAGGCCCCCCCCCCACAGGAAGCACCACGTGATCCCCCAGGAGGCGCTGAAGAGGAAAGAGGGCGGAAAAAGAGGAGGAGGAGGAGGAGGAGGAAGGCGGAAAGAGACATGAGGAACACGAGGTTCAGGACACGGGAAGCGGGAAGCACGGTGGCGAATTGTTGTTGGTCGCAAGGATGGCGCGGAAAGAAGGGATAGGGGAGCTCGGACGCTTGTGGTGTCATCACCGCGTAGTGTTTTTGTTGTCAGGGCGCGCGGCGCCGAGTGTCCATTTGATGCTATGCATACTGCCGCTGCGCGGCACCTGTTAGGACGCGAGCAGCGCATGCACGATGGGAGCACTGAAATGGATCGCGCACGTTCGTTCCTCATTCCGGCGCCCTGGAGTCCGCATCCCGTCGCATTCGATCTTGGTAATTTGTTTGCCAGCCAGCATGCCATTGGATTGCCAACCCACTCTCGGAAGTTCACCATCTGCGCACGACTACAATATCCCAGGCGTTGGGTCGTCGGAGAAGGAAAAGAAATAGGGGAAACGGTGTGGGACAGGAGCTTCAGGGGGAGGGGAGGAGGTGAATCGATGAGTGTAATAAGAGAGAGAGAGAGGAGGGAAGAAAGGGGGGGAAGAGAGAGAGAGAGAAAGCGAGAACGAGAGCGAGCGAGCGAGTGATACATATATATATATATATATACATATATATAATGTATGTATACAGGGGAGAGAGAGCGAGAGAGAGAGAGAGAGAACAAAAAAAAAAAAAAAGAGAAGGTGAGGGAGAGAGAGAGAGAGAGAGCGAGAGAGATAGACTAAGAGGGAGAGACCGAGAGAGAGAGAGAGAGGAAGAGACAATGAGAGGGGGATCAAGGCCTTACCTGGCACTGTTCTAACCGAAGCAGGCGTGCAAATCAAGCCTGGTGGACTGATATGGACAGCCTGCGTGTTGGCTTACAACCGATGCGTGATCAGAGACGCCTGAAATGATACGAATAATAAGAATAAATAGATTAATACGAATAATAATAAGAAGAAGAAGAAAACGAGCACAACTAATCAGCACAATAATTCTCATGATGCCAGAGGGAGTGTGGGGGATCTGACGCAATGCATAGATGCGCGGACGACCGAGTATTATAGTTTCCACCTCCGCGGCGTTCGTTGTCCGCGCTGCTCCTGGAGAGCTGGTCGGCCATGAGAACGGAGGTATGTTAAGAGGTCTCCACCAGTCTACGGTATGCGCGATTTGGCATGGCAGCAGCCCGCCGTCGCCGACATCAGCATCCTTCGCAGGAGTAAGAATATGGCAGCCAAGCCTACCATAATCCACCCCCGTGAAATGAGCACGCCAAATCTGGAATCGCTCAGTACCTCGGATTCCCGCCGCTGCAGACCGCGCGGTGGCATTCTTTTGGGAGGCCCGCGAGGAAATCGGCTGTTTACCCGGGCGCGCCCCAGTCTGTAAGACGGGCTTACGCCAAGACGGGGGTCTCAGCCAGGCAGCTACATTGAGCCAAAGCGGCCACAAGGGGGTTCGAGATGGCCAAAGCGCGCTCCAGGACGCTCAAAATAGCGTCTAAACGGCCCGAGGCGTGCCAAGAGGGCCCAGAGAAGAAGAGGATGCTACGAGACAAAGCCATGCGTTTTCCTCCAAAGGCGCTGCAAGGATCTTAGAGTGCTCGCTTGCTGGGTAGTCCGACCGACCATGACGGCCCAAGAGGCCTCCAACGTCTCCCCCAGAGGCTTTTGTGAGCTAATGTAAAGATGGCCCCTAAGAGGCCCCCGTAAGTTATTATGATTAAGACGGCCCCGAAGACGGCACAAGAGGGCCCCAAGACGGCCGAAGAGGCCCCCCAACATAGGGAAAGCGAAGTGGTGTCAGGGGGGCCCCGCCTGAGCGAGGAGGGCATCGGACAACCATACAATTTACGTGGTTCGTGCCCCTCCCACCCCTCCACGGAGGCCCCTCCTCCTCCTCCTCCTCCTCCTCCTCCTCCAGGAGGGTATCGGAAAACATTAGTTTACACGGTTTCGTGCCCCCCTTCCACTCCTCCAGAGAGGCAGCGCTTGAATGAGGAGGGTCGCGGAAAGCATTACTCTTTACCAGGTTTCTTAGCTTTCCCCCTTTTCATTGGGGCCCCGCCAGAGCGAGGAGGGTATCAAGAAACCGTATTAGTTACACGGTGTCGTTTCCTGAGCATTTGTCCTCCCTCCTCTTTTCTTTCGTCTGCCCTTTCGCGCGTACTTATTCGTTCGATGAGTTTCTCTTTCGTGTTGATGTTGTCGTGCCCCATGGGTCCCACGAAACCGTTAATATCTTTATGTGGCGAACTCCGTTAGCATACTTTTTACACCCATCCCCGTGGATTGTGTAAGTAAGAGTTGGAGCTCCGTTTTGGGATTATTTGCAGTCGTTACGGGTCCAAGGGCGTTTGGTTGGATTCCTGAGGATATATCTACATAAATACATATATATATATATACATATATATATATATATATATATATAGAGAGAGACTGTGTTCGTGTTCGGGGGATGTCAAAAATGTATATGAAGACGATCAAAAAATCGTGTGGTTCATGTGGCGTGTTTCAATGAAGCATAGATTCGCAAACGTTTGATTAGTATGTGTCTCCTCTGGGTGTGTTAATTCTTCCCTCACCTAATCAGCTCTAGTTCCTTATTGCTGCAACGCGTGCGGGCAGAGAGGACACATTGATGAAATTCGTACTATGTATGATAATACTGTTCTCTATAGATGTATTAAAAAATGCCAGATACCTCTCTCGCTCTGGACTGCAACTCGTGTTGCGACATTGTACGGCAATGGTGCTGTATTGCATCCCACTTCAAGTGGCGAAACTCCAATAATAATGTGGAATATACCAAAGATAGAGGCGAACAAGGTGATGACAAGCATTATTTTGCATGGCCCTCCACTGGTACTGTTACGCATTCGCGATGGTTTCCAATTTGGGGCAAAGGTGTTGGCTTATATTGATGATGTTTACATGGTACGCGACCTTGGCGAAATATCTTTCGTCTTACAATTTCAACTTGCGGGCGATGTATTGGTAAGTTTGCAAGGTGGGGGAATACACATGCACCTTACCCTGACAACCTGGTGGGCCCCATGGCTCAGTTTTGAAATGTAACAAGCCACCAGGAGAAGGAGATATCAAAATCTTAGGCGCACCATTTGGCAATACGGAGTATATCAAGCGACATTGGATTACCATGGCCGACGAGAAGGCGAAAGTGTTCAATATTTTTACGAAGTTCGCCATTCGCTAAATATAGCGGTTGTTGTAATATTATTGCGCGGTCCCGATCAACCATGATGTGCAGTATTATGAATACTTGATGGAATGCGGACGGTACGGTATAGAATTTCTAGCGAACCGGCACGCATCTTAAAGAGGCGCAGCGCGTAAGACTGGGGATCGCGCAACGATTTCACGGTATAGCGTATTGTATGTCTACGGATAGATCAAAGGATGTTGCCGGGTTGCTTCGGCGGTATGGAGCTGCGGGATTGCAGCACTAAAGCTTCCGGCACTTAGGTACATAATGGTTTATTATAATGTAGCTGACAACAACTGACTTCACGAAGAAGCACGCACCTTAATGTATCATGGCAACAAAAATGGCGGGAAGACCGTGTCATGCAATGATTTCGAAGGAATATTAAACCCGATCCGAGACTAATAGTGTTTGGATGGGTGGCAAGATCACGCATCCAATGTCTTCGAACAAATGCCCACTCCAAATTGCTGATATTGTGGAAGGCGGCAGATGCATTCGTTGGCAAAGACGTCCCCCACATTTGCGTCTTAGCCTTGCCGAGTGCGCCTCGAAAATTTTGAATGCCAGCGTTGACGCTTTCGAGACGGAACGCGTGCTGGTTCTGAGACCGAGAAACAAGCGGAGCTTGAAGCATGATGCTAGAATCCGATCATGCTTTTGCGGACTCTGGGCGCCGGCACCGCCGAACGAACGAACGAACGAAGCAGCCATGCGCCAAAAGCGCGTGGGCATTACAAATGCGCGCCAGCAATGACAAATGCACACCAAATGCGTGCACAAGGCGGCCAGGACGCGCCAAATGCGCGCCGGGAGGACGGAGGAGAGGAGGAGGAGGAAGAGCAAGAAGCCATAGTTTTGCAGCCTGCCAAGGTACAGAGGCAATCAATAGTTGTTACAGCCATTCTTCATCGTTCCCTCCCCCTCCCCCTCCCCTCCCCCTCCCCCTCCCCCTCCCCCTCCCCTCCTCCTCCTCCTCCTCCTCCTCCTCCTCCTCCTCCTCCCTCCTCCTCCTCCTCCTCCTCCTCCTCCTCCTCTTCCTACATCTCTAATCCTTATAATTATTAAACCCTAATCCCCTGAAAACCGGACACTATGTAGACCGGCCTCCGTCCTATGCAAAAAACACCATTTCCTGATCATGCGCTCTGAAAACGATGTTTTTTTACAATGGATCGTGACCGGATCTATCCGCGGGCCGGGCTGATCCCTATCAAAAAACATTGTATCCTGATCATGCGCATCGAATTTACTATGTTTTTTCATATGTTTCGTGCCCAACCCGGGTCGCGGGCCGGGATGCGTACCGGAGTTTTGCATTGTAAAAAATACTATAACCTAAACATTTTGTTTTTGCAAGATGTGTGCATGGTATTATTCTATTGCAGAAAATAGGACAAAGTGCACAAGCGCGCGTCGGCCGCGCGATCATGGCCAACTCCTTTGGACATTTCAATGTTTTTCAGCACTGGTGTTATGCGACAGCCACGCTAGAGGCTGCGGTTATCCAGATGTTGTGGAACTCGCCTTTGTGCTAATCTATGTTATGCTGGCATAGCATACGAGAGGCGTTGCATAGCAAAGCACGTTGAGGTCGGGCGAACCCTCGAGTGCGCCCGACCCGACCCGACCCGCTTGTTAGGGTTCACGCGTGTCAAGTGTACACGCACCATAGTTTAATGTCCCGCCCGCCCGACCCGACCCGCCGCTAGGGTCCGCCCGACCCGACCCGACCCGCCCGTTAGGGTCCGCCCGCCCGACCCGACCCGCTTGTTAGGGTTCACGCGTGTCAAGTGTACACGCACCATACTTGAATGTCCCGCCCTCCCGACCCAACCCGCCCGTTAGGGTCCGCCCGACCTGACCCGACCCGCCCGTTAGGGTCCGCCCGCCCGACCCGACCCGACCCGCCCGTTAGGGTCTCCCGCGCGCGCGCGCGGCCGCCGCATCTACTGCTTGCTCCCAGGCTTGCTATGGTATGCTATGCTATGCTACAACCACGGTATAACATGAGAGGAGGGATGATCTTTATGTGGGGGTGGAGATGCGGGGGGGATTGATAGCCACCGCAGGTGAGTGCCTATGCAGGTAGGTATTCCTGGCCTTGCCCTGTTAGACCCTAAATCTCTAATCTCTATAATTATTAAACCCTAAATCCTTCAAAACCGGCCGCTATGCGGTCCGGCCTTTATCCCTTGCAAAAAATATTACTCACTG